TAACCAACTCTCTGTAGCTGTCACTCTTGTGGTTACCCAAAAAATTTGAAACAACATTTTTAAAAGCCTTCCATGCAGATGTTTCTAAATCGCTTAATTTTTCTTCAAATCTTGAATCTTTTATTAACTCCCTAATTTGAGGGCCAACAAAAATATCCTCTTTTATCTTTGCATCACTTATTTTAGGGAATTTTTCTTTTAGATACAAAAATCCACTCCCATTGCGATCCATTGCCTTCACAAAATTTTTTATTAATCCTAATTTGATATGCAATGGTGGTAGAAGCACATTATTTGGCTGTACAAGGGGTAAATACTTTACGTTTTTTGCCCAGGAACTAACGATGCACGCGTAGGCCATGTTTTTTTATATAGTGATTAGTTCTGTCTCGGCTATCCCATTCACATAAAAAGCAGCAAAACTTTGTATAACCCAGCTGAAGTCCAAGTAATAGTGCAACAACTTTAAGATTACCGCAGATTTTGAAGGAATATGTACTGTAATTTATTTTTTCAAGTAAAAGTTTCATATTTTCATAGGTTTCTTTCATATTTGCAGCATGGGCCAGAGGTACAGACGGAAGCTTATTTCCATTATGCAATAACACTGCTTTTAGACTTGCTTTCGAAGAATCAATGAATAAACGCCACTGAGAGAGATCAAAATCTATGTCCAACATTTTCATAATCTCATTTATGTTATTGCAAAACACCAAATCTCCATCCTGAGAAAAATACGTTCTGAAGTGTTGATCACGGTTTCGAAAATAGCTAACTTTTGTATTATGATGTAGCAAATTCCATTCTTTTAGACGTGATCCTAATAGTTCTGACTGCTTTTTTGACAAATTTAAATCCCGAACCAAATCATTTAGGTCTCCTTGAGTTATCAAATGTGGCTCGTTTACAATTCCTTTTAACTCAAAGTCATCGTCCTCGTCAACATATTCACCAGAAGTGGACGGTTGTGAATTGTTCTCAACAGACGTAGTTGCAACTGGTATTAGTTCTGGCAATTTTTTACAATGAGAGACTGGTCTTATAGCCGAAGATAAGTTAGGGTAAATATCTGATGTTTTTTTCTTGTAATTTATACCTTTTATGTCTGTGAGACAAAAATAGCAATCTGAAACGTGATCTCGCTGTTCAGTCCATATCATGGGTACAGCAAACGGCATAGGTCGTGCACATTTCTTCCAGTCAGTTAAATTTTTCACACACGTTATGCAACAGACATGAGGGGCCCAGGATTTGTCTTGATGGGCGACAGAAAAACCAAAACATTGGTGATAACACTCCAACACAAGATTCGTAAAATTTCGTCGTTGTTTTTTGAATGTTAGTTCTCCGCAGACATAACAAAAAGAGTTAGCATCATTATTACACTTCCTCGACATATTTACAGGGTTAATAAATCACAAAAAAGTGTTCAAATTCAACAAAAATATTTTTATAAGGATTTACTTGTAAGCGTTTCTGTTAATTTACTGCCGTAGTACTAGTTATGAGTATTACCGTATCACAACAAATATGAGGCTAATAGACATATGACAGCTGTCATGTAATAATGAGGGTAGACTGATAAAATAAAATTAGCTGTCAAAGTTCGTGTGGCAAAACCAGTGTTGACCAGTGTAGTTTATGTATGTCGAATTTAGTAAATTAAATAACAATAGAGAGTTTACGTTTTATTATAAAATTAAGCATAAATGCACATACATATGTACCAAAATAATCAAGAATTATTAATCAAAATCATTAATGAATGTATCAAATTATGAAACTTGGAAATATTCATCCATTTTTTTTTGTTTAAGGTTGTTATAACGCGAGATCAGAGCTTTGTCCCTCAGTCTTCTCAAAAGTAAAAGTTCGTTGTAGGATGTACCATTCTCTTCACCCCATTGTAAACCTAGCTCAAAGGCGTTAATTGCGTCTTGTGCTGTGACTTGTGGAGCAGTTGCAATCACGTCGTCGTTATTTTCCTGATTGTTGTATAATTAGAAACCTCTTTTATAATCTCTCCGTCGGACATTTCATGAAAACATTTTCCTCTTTATCCATTCCACGGCACCAGATTTCCAAATCTTCCGGACATATCTATGTTTCAGTAGCGACTTATTGTTCTATAACTTCAGAAATTACACTGATTTATGGAACGTTGCTAGGAGTGGTGACTTATCTGGCCATAACCTTTTCCAAGACGATGTAATAGTTGATGACGGTAACGCATTCCACGACTGTCAAAGAGCAAAAACCAAGTCTTTCATATTAAATTCTTTTAAAGTTTTTTCTATTGGTGGGTCTTTTGATACGGCTCTCAGAAGTAGGTTTTTTTTATAGTCTTGCTTGACAAACTGAATGATATTCTGGTCCATTGGTTGAATCAGTGCAGTGCAATTTGGCGGAAGAAACATCGCAGTGATACATTTATCCTCAGTTGTTAGTTCTTCTTCAGACGGATGACCGGGAGCGTTATCAAGAAGCAACAACGCTTTTTGAGGAAAATTATGATCTTTTAACCCTTTTCTAACTTCAGGTACGAAGCATTCATCAAACCACTTTTTGAAAAGGTCTTTTGTCATCCATGCACTTTTTTGTCCGTAATAGTGTACAGGTAAATCAATGTTTTTGAATGCCCGTGGTTTATTAGATTTCCCAATGACCATTATCTTAAGCGCGTGTGTGCCCGCAGCGTTAGCACATGGTAGTATGGTTACACGCTCTTTACTTACTTTTCGTCCAGGTACGGATTTTTCGTTACAAGAAACAAAAGTTTTGTTAGGCATCACACGCCAAAAAAGCCCTGATTCGTCGGCATTGTACACCTGTGACGGGTCAAGGTTTAAATCGTTCAACTTTTGCAAAAATCTTAATTTAAGGGGCTCTATGCAGGTGTCATCGTTAGAAAGTTTCTCTCCTGTAATAGTCATTAAACGTATGCCATGACGACTTTTAAAACGTTCTAGCCATCCTTTGCTGGCCACAAAATCATCTTTTTTTGTTATTTCCTTATAAAAAAAATAGCTTTCATGGCCAACATGGGTCCTGAGATTGGTGCATGCCTATTTCTTTCCTGAAGAAACCATATGTCCAAAGCTTCTTCCACTTCTGGATGTTCAGCTTTCTTGAGTGTCTGTCTCTTGCTTGGCCCGCAGTCAGTAGTTGACACGAACTTCTTGATCTTCTCGTGGTTTCTTTTAATGTCATAAATTGTAGATCGGCCTACGCCGTATTCACTTGCTAAACTACTGAAAGTTTCATTGCGATTTAACCGGTCTAAAATATCACACTTATATTTAATTGTCAATGCTTTGTGATTTCGCTTCTGAGTTTATGATGATATTACTAGGTACTACATATAGTTAATACACAATGAATAAATAGTAAACAATGAACGCACGCTATCACCAGTAGTCAAACGCAAACTAAGTAAAACACTGCTTACGCGTCGAGCACGATAGCGGTGGTGTAGAAGTTGTAGCCTGTTCAAACCTGCGTGATCTACATTAGCGAAGATTGTCAAATACGTATGTATGTAATATTCAAAGACATGTCAGATTACAGGGGGCGCCGGATTAGACAGGGGCCGGATTATCGGGGGTCCATTATATTACCTTATATTCGCGAGGATATTCTCCAAGAAGAAGTAAAAGGTTGACTGGTATTTGTATCTTGAGCGACATGTCCTGACTTGTTCCAGCTTGCAGTTGACGTGGGAGTTCGTTCACTCAGCATCACTGACAGTTGTACTCCAGAGCTTACACAGACCGTACCGTATTTTTACTGGATACAGTTTTTTATCAAATTATGAAGCATGTCATCCTCAAGCGATGAGGAAACTATATAAAATAATGGCCACGACCTGCAGTTCATCGCAGATGAAATTTCCAGTGCTCCCATTATTTTGCAAAAGTCACAAGTCCAAAAATAAAAATGAGAAAAGACGATGCCTTGAAGATGTTGAAAAAATACGAATCAACATTCGGTAAACCATTAGATACTAAAGGCTTATTAAAAAAAATCAACAACATGAGATCAAGATTGAAGAAAAAAACAGATAAAAAACTGGTAATAAAGCAATTAAATTGTTAGATTAGGAAAGAAAGTCGCTGAAAGCTATGGAAGATGACTGCAATCCTACAATTAGGAAAATTAGAGGCGCCATTCAGGTTGGTAGTGTCCAAGAAGAAGGAAGTGAACTATAAACCGAGCGCAGTGAGCAAACAGTTAGTATTACAGCGCCAGCAATTCAGAAGACATTGCTACCAAAAAGAAAATTAGCAACAGAGAAATACGAACCTGAGGAAACCAAAGGGTTAACTACAAAAGAACTGCAACGTCTAGTGCTATTACAGCAGTACCAAAGAGGTATTTTACAACAAGAGTATTATAAAACGAAATTAGAAATGATGCAGCGTCAGAAGTCACCTGTAACTGATGATGTTCACGAAAATAAAACTTATAAATACACTTTAATCAGTAAAACTATTTATTATAATACTCAAGTTTCTTCTTATTTGTTGACCTAGTTGGCAGAGAGGAAGTTCGTCATTCTCATGATTTCCTTCATCTTCATCTGGGTCTTGTTCAACTAACTCAAAGTCAGGATCACCCAAGCTCTTCGCAACATTATGGAGTACAATACAAGCGATAATTATTTTCGGTACATTTTGCAACTTGACGCGGCAAACATACTGTAGGATAGGAAACCGGCGTTTCAGTTAGCCGAAACAGCGTTCAGATATAACTCTCTTGTTTTAAAAGCCTTATAATTTATTTCTTATTTCTTCATAAGGCATAGCTCAATACCATAACCGTCCTCACCAAGTAGTACAACATTTGCTTTATTTATTAGTTGCGATCTAGTCTGTGAATTTCTCCATATTCTGGAATCATGCACTGATCCAGGCCAACTGTCATCAACACTTGTGAGCATCTCTCTGGCAACACAAGTGGCTTGCACATTTAAAGTAGGTTTCCCTTTTCGGTTGATATACTCATCCCCATGGTTTCAGGATTCCTATATGTGTACAATCAATTTCACCAATTGCTGTCGGAAATTTATACGTGCTTCGCCATATCTGCTTGGCCTTCATCAGTTCATGGTTGGTAGTTGGAAACTTGATCCATTCGTTCGACTGTGCAACTATGCTGTTCACAACTCTATCCACAGTCCGAGATATCGTTGCTTGACTAACACCAAGTTCCTGACCAATACTTTGCTGATATCCAGGGTCAGCAAGATAGCATAGACATATATTCATTTTATGAATACATGAAAGTGCCCCTCCTCGAGTTTCCTCATTTTCAACTAAAAATCTGTCCGCAAGCCACTGTACATTTGCTTCGTCGAACCGATATAATTTTTTGAAGTCACGACCAAGTGAAGGTAAACGAGGTTTGTACGTTTTAACATCCCTAACATCCACAATTTCCGCCATCATCGTTTGACCACCTTTCGTTACGAAGTTGAGTCTGCTACTGACCACACTCAGAATTATTGAAGGATATGCTTCCTATGCCAAGTATAAGGTGAAGATTATGAATATCCTTTTACTTATGTCACTGCTTTGAAGGATATGCTTAAACTCAAAAAGCAAGAGCATTTACTCCAAATTATTATAAATACCATCTTTAGGTTTTCCTTCAAAATTTGCAAGTACAAGGATATCCTTTGTTTTATGAATACGGCTCAGAGAGCGTGGATAATATGGAATATTTAACTATTCAACTCTCGATTTATGAATTGTTAGTTGTTAGGATACTTTTTATCTTCGTTGGTATAATCGTACACATATATTTATATTATTTATAGGAGAAATAGTCACCTTTGGTAAAATACGACTTAAAGACGTTCTTAAGGTAAAGACATACATAGCGGTTTTAACGAATCGGCCGCGTTCTAATAATCCACACTTATTTTTATATACTCCAACCACCACGAAGGCCTAAGGCCTAAACACCCATGGGGTACCTTGGGGCTATAGGGGGATACAGGGAAAGGGGGGACGCCATACGGACTCTGGCGAGGGAACACGTGTGCATGAAACACATTCTGGCTCCGCCTACGAGAACCGCCGGGTGGTACCTCCGCGTTCGACGGTCAGAGACCGTCTACCACCTACGGACAATCACAACATCCATAGCCAAGAGAAAAATTTCTCCTGGGACGGGATTCGAACCCGCACAGCGCACGGCGACTGATCAGGAGACCGAAGAGTCTACTACTGCGGCCACCGCTGCTGCCTTAAAAATGGCCGTCGTAAAGTTGAAACTGAGCTGTTTTTAAGCGATTTGTGCAGTGATCGGTTCGACTTGCATAATGGATGACGTACTCGTATTGTATTTGTCGCTACTGTATTTGTTCTGGAAAATTAGTAAAAAGAAAAAATAAATTGAAGAATGTGGATACATCTAATCATCGCAGAAAGGCAACGAAAAGGTATTTTCATACATTGCTGTGTATTTTATACTATTACTGATATCATACACGGTAAACGCTTCGGTTAAAACCGATATGTCTGTATTTACTTTTAGACGGAAAACCATGCTGAAGATGACATAAGGCTCAGGAATATTAGAATTGCTTTTGGGTGAAATGAATCATAGGCTCAGAAAATAAAATAAAGCTTTGGAATATTGTTAATATACTTCACTCTCAAATCCCTGTCATATTCTGGGAAGTGATAGATGTCGAAGAAATCTTGTTGGCCTGAATGTTCAACTAACTATGTAGGCCAGTAAAACTAGGTACCCTTTCTGGTATATTGTTCCATATTCTTGACATAGACTAGATTGAGGCCCTATCTGACTGATTGGTGAAACTTGCTTACAGTTATGATACTGTGACTGCCCCATGAAATCGTCGTGTTTTGCCTGCCTGGCGGATCCGCTGAACTTCCGCTCTAGCTCTTTACATCTAGAACTGGCCAGTAAGACACCGAACACTTGATTCAAAAAAATCAAATATAGTATTCAGAATCTTTATCTTATACTAAATCTAGAATTGAATTTTGAAATTATTTCAAAATTTCGGATATTCTAACAGTTCTGGAAGAACATTTTAAAAACTGAAATTTTGTTGATCTAACAGTTTTGAAAATTTTGAAAATCTATAAAACTTTGGGAATTTTGAGCATTTTAAAAGTTTTTGAACACGCAAGGTGCGTTATTAGTCGTTTAATATCCAGAGGTTGACCAACCCTCAATCGCCACTCGGCCCGACTATAAATATGGGCCTTAAGGAACTGGACCACATCCAGGACTGGTGCGTGAAATGGAAAATCCGCATCAACGTCCAGAAGACGCAGGCAATCTTCATCCAACGAAGAAGGATTGCAAGACCTCTCGAAGCATCCATCTTCGACGAAGATAGTGGAGCGACAAAGTCAAATATCTGGGGATCGTATTTGACAAGTTCCTCACCTGGAAAGACCACATAGAAGCTATCATCGCAAAGACCAGAGCAGCCATGGCTCAACTCTACCCATTACTGGGTAGACACAGCAGGATGCCGCTAGCGACCAAGCTACGGCTGATCAAGGCCATCGAAAGACCTCAGCTCGCTTACGCCTCCGCGGTCTGGGGGTACGCTGCTCCCAGCTACCGCAAGCGACTTGCTGCTCTAGAGATGAAGCTACTCCGGATCGCCACCAGTGCACCATCCTACGTAAGAAACTCAACCTTGCGTAGAGACCTGCATTGGGACACCATTCACGAGTACATGAAGAAAAAAGCGGAGAAGACCTTCCAGAAAGCTCAGGACTACCCGAACGAGCAGCTACGATTCCTCATGGACCCATCAGGACCAGGATCAACCAGGACCAGGACCCATCAGGACCAGGTAACATACAAGTAGTAGTGGACTTGAAACTCTTGATTTTTCGAAAACAAGGGTTTCAAGAGAACATAGCAAACCCTATATCGATGCTCGCTTAACAACATCGATAGAACTGTGCGAGGTACCCGGCGTTCCCAGAGACTGAAACACATGAGGAGACGTTGTAGCAGACCGCAGGTCACGCACAACACATGGCCTACCGAGACGCTGATGAGTCGGGTCACGCGAAGTTTAGGGTTTAGTGGATATTAGGTGGTCTCCTCAAGACAACCTGGAGTCCCACACACGCCGTAGCTCGGGCTATGGTATGGTGGATAAACGGATTCCCCCCTCACCAAAAAAAAAAAAAATGTCAACCATCAGTCGGATAGTTCTCTTCTAACCAGTGCTTGCTAAGATCTTTGCTGTCAACTCCACTATGGACGTAACATTCAGGCATAAGACCGTAAGATGGGTGCTCTTGTCGCTCGACATCCGGACTTGATTCCTGCCGTTGTATTGAAGGCGGCTCCGACGCAGTGAGTTTCAAGCCATTTACAAGGGTTCAGCTGCTTCGAAACTGACACTCCATTTTTCAATATTTTTGAATGAAATTCATACAGTATGTTCAGAAGATAATTGCCCAGGGTGCTATAGGAGCACTTTTTGAATTTTTGTTTTTGCACAAGTTTTATGATGGGTTGAAGTGCGCACTTATTCTATTCAACTTTTTTTTAAAAAGAATCTACTGAAAAAATTAAAAAGTGGCTCTATAGAGCACCTTGTGGGGTTTTGTTTTCAGCACACTATGAAAATTTCATTCAAAAATATCAAAAGATAAAGCGTAAATTCCAAAGCGCCCCCTATAGCCCCACTGTACCCCATGGGTGTTTAGGCCTTCGTGGTGGTTGGAGTATATAAAAAAAGTGTGGATTATTAGAACGCCGCCGATTCGTTAAAACCGCTATGTATGTCTTTACCTTAAGAACGTCTTTAAGTGGTTGTTTTCCAACCTCAACCATCGTATTCTGGACGAATTTCGTCTACTGTTTCGTGCTGCCAACCCAAGCGTTGCGGTGCAATGTACGGACTAAGAAAGGGACGTATTCAGATAATTTGGTGGCCCAATCTCATAATATCGCATAGATAAGTCGTTCTGCAAATACTCCTCGATTTTAAAGCCGTTTTACTTCCCACGCCAGTGGCGAGGAAGTATTGTAATCGCGAAAAAAATCTAAAATGAGATGTTATGTTTTTTTAAGTCATATGACATCTACATCACGAAAACCTATATCATTCATCATCAACTTGGAAATTACCGCTCGGATTTTTATGAAATTTCCACACGGGGTTACTAGTACGCCAAAGCTTTGTAGTTGTAGTCAAATAGCAAGGGTGCTATAGGCAAAAAAGAAAAAGTAACAATTGCTGAAACTCCGCTTTTGACGTTACAGAGGTTCCTTAACATTGACATAAAAAAATGTACTTCTGAAAAAGTGGGGGTTGGGGGAAGGTGATTCAAAATGTTGCATCTTTGATATCAGTGAATCACGTTCTATTATTAAGAAGCTTCTGGTCCCAGTGATTGCAGGAAATTTAAGTAACGAAAATCCGACGAATAATGTGCTCACGATTTGAAAAAATCGGTACTTGCTCTATAGGTTTGACACCAAGAGCCAACAGATCTATCTGCAACTGCTGATAGTAGAGAAGAATGAATTCGGATATCATTCCAGTCAAGTATAAGAGAATTTAGCGTGGAACTTTAAAATTATCGATATGTCAAGGAAATATGTTTTTGAGAACGATAATTTGGTAGATTTTATACTTGCATTTTCATTTGAATTTCATAACCCGTGAAATGTACCCATTTCGCCGTTACCTTCAATTTGTGTTCTGCAGTTTGTGATGTTTTTCTGGATATAAGCAGGACATGATTGCCTCAGGTGCTATCAGAGCTTTTTACAAAATTTTGTCTTTGTGCAAGAATTATGGTGGGTTGAAATGCTGACTATTTGTGCTCACTTCTTGATATCTTAAAAAGATCCTAGTAGATAAAATCGAAAAAGTGGATCGTTAGCACCCTGTGGACTTTGTTTTAACATATATAAATAATAAAAAATGAAACGTAAGCTGTGAAGTGTAAATCGGTCTTTGGGCGAAATTCGTCTACTGTTTCGACCTGCCAGTCCAAGCGACGCGACGGTGCGTTCCGACTAAGAAAAATTGTCTTCAAATAATTTGATATCTTTAGTAAAATAAATTCAAGAACTCAAATTCAAATTCGTTTATTCATGTCAATAAACACAATTATGTTTACAAGGGTCATGTGGTACATGGTAACAATTGCACGAGGGTCATAAAAATATCTTATGCCGTCAAAATAAGAGGAAACAGTTAGGTAGTTTTTGCAAAGCAATAAACAGGTAGGCTTATACCTGGATT